ATGGAAAGCTGTCTTGGTTTTCCTAATTGATAATAGATCAAAACACCAGTGCCAAGATAAAAGTTTAGGATGTATACCTCATATACCTTCCTTCGATCATGAAGAAGGTGTTGTGGGTCCAACTCATTCACAAGGAATGGTCTGAATCATAAAGCACAAACAGTTGCAAAACTTAATTAATCATTGCTTGCTAGTTACAAAGGAGAAGCAAACTGTTCTTCTACAGTTCAATGAACTAGAATGATCAAAATAAGTTAATAAACAGTTAGGTAATATATACATTAAAAAATTAGAAACTGAGCAGAAAACGAAGAATGGTCTAAGGGCATTGGCTAAATGTAAAATCCCTTACAAGCAGTCTAACAGTCATGCATGGTCCAAATTTTAGATTCTTCCAACCTAAATTAGAGGGAAATTAATTGAACCATCACCTTGAACATGATTATCTTTAAATTTTCAAGAAGCACATCCACTGCTCTTGAGCATTCCATCTCCGTAGAGACCTAAATATATTTATATCTGTAAAGACCTAATAATTCTCATAATGCCGGCTGATCTGGAAATCTTTGTCATGATGATGCTTGATAATTTAGACCCAAGATTCTCCAGAATTACTATAAATAATTACTTTCCTTATTTTCATTATAGATTGTCATTTAAGATCTATATTAATTCAAAAGAAAACAACAGTAATTTGCCCATAATCTCCTCTTTGTAAATTCTTTAGCTTTTCAAGATGTAATTCAGCCAACATTTAGTACATTACTTGTAAAAAAGATAGGCCTAATTTAACAGCTCCAACTGCCATAAAGTTTCCCAAAGGTAAAATATGAGGTGTCAAAAGGTAATGAAATCATTATTTGAAGTTCTTGATGTTAAAACTTGAAAATAAGTAGTCATATTAGAATCTAAAATTAGGAAAATTTTCTTCCAATTTGAAAAGATATTGATTCTTATTTTGAACATGCACATAGAACACATGCATAAGAATAAAGTACATACATACATATATATACATATATAACAACTTACTTCCAATCTAAAATTAGGTAAATTTTCCTACAATTTGCAAAGATATTGATTCTTATTTTAAACATGCACATTGAATACATGCATACAACTAAACTATATATATATATATATATATATATATATATAAGAACTTACTTCGATCTAATATTAGGCAATTTTCCTGCAATTTGCAAAGATATTGATTCTTATTTTAAACATGCACATAGAATACATGCATACGAATAAACCACATATATATATATATATATGTCTATGTATATAAAAGAACTTGCTTCCTTAAAGCAGCATATGCTTCTGCCCTTTCAAGGGGATATCCAGAGGAATAGAATGCAATAAACATGCACATAGAATACATGCATATGAATAAACTACATATATATATATGTATGTATATGTATATGTATATAAAGGAACTTACTTCCTTAAAACAGTATATGCTTCAGCCTTTTCAAGAGGATATCCAGAGGAATAGAATGCAATCAAACAATCACAGATTGGCCAGCTGAAATAAGCATAATTATAAAAAAAAATATTAGGCCAGTTAATAGCAAGGAACTTCTCAACCCAATTAAGTGAGAGAAACAACATAAGCCTCAACCATCAACAATAAATTTTGCACCTTAAGAGTTTAATATCAAGAACTGGAGCCACCTATAACACTCAACAGATATCTGGCTATCACACCCTATAACTTAATTCCCTCCCACAACTCATAGAATCCTTTAACACAGAGAGAGATACTTTCAGACTAGCAAGGACTGATCTCAAGTTATACAGCCACTAACTCAAACAAATGTCAAAACAGTCCATCAAAAGGTAAAGAAAATTGCAAATATATGCCTTCAAAAATTTTCCACATAAATGCAACCAGTCTATTTACGGCTTTGAACAGGACATCTTAAATCTGTCGATCACGTCCACAGGTCTTTTTATTTTTCCTTTTTTATCATCAGTAACATTCAAACTGTGGTTAATTCGAACCGAAATTTAAAATATAAAAAATGAAAAGGACATCAATAATACCAACTATAACCAACACTATATACAATATCAAATGGCATATGAGAGACACTGTGTTTCAACTAATTAACCGCAAATGTACCTTTCTATCGGTTCTTCAAGAATAACCTTATCGCCAAAATGTATAATCTACAAAAAAAAAAAAAGCAACGCAAGCAATCCATAAGAATAAAACAACATTAAAACATGCTCTCTCGCGATACATACGCACAAACAAACTCCCCCATAGCATTCACAACGCAGATACAGAATTTACGGAAACAGCACTTCATTACTACTATCAAACATGGTTATCTTTTTTAGAAAAATAAAATAAAAAAGTTCACAAAAAGAAAATACTGCACGAGTCAGCATTTATATTTCTCGTCAAATTACATATTTCATCAAATTCAACTCAAAAAAATAAATAAAATAATAACACAGTTTCATTTAAATTTAACTTAAATTTAATATATATATCTGATCTACCTCAAATTCGCCAAAAGCCTTAAGCCTTTCTAGGATTTGTCCCATTGGAGCTGAAAAAACCTGAAAATTAAAACTCGAAAACTTTTATAAACTTAAAATTCAAGCATTATACCAGAACAGTAAATACTACATTACGTTACGTTATTATATAAATCACACGACTCTTGAACTTTTCTCATATAACATTATAATTTTCATATTTTTAGCAGGAAGCTTGAGTAAACAAAAGAGAGAAAACCTCGCTTCCGCATTTCACCTTCTTTTCCATGACGCAAACTCCAACCGTTATCTTCTTATAATATTCTCTTCCTTCTTCTCCTGCCATCTCTTTCTCTTCCTTCTTCTCTCTCTCAAAAAAACAAAAAAAAAAAACAATCTCAACGAACAAAAACAAAAATTAAATAAAAAGAAACCGCAACGGAACTCGTCAGCTTCCAGTCACCGCCACAACGCCAGCCGGAGCTGGAACCTTTTTTTTTCAGATACGTGTATTTTTGTACGAAAAATACGTACACGAATACGTAAACGAGATCTAGAAGAAGTGAAGAAAACAGCTAAAAAAATTGGCCTAAACAAGAATAAAAAAAAAAAGCAGAGAAAGGACGAAGGAAGAAAGAGAAACCGGTGAATGAGTCACAAGAAATATATAGAGAGGAAAAGGAAATGGAACGGTCTTAGAGCCAAGCGAAAAAAAATAAATAAATAATAAGAAAATGAGAAGCTGAGGATTTTTATTTGTTTATTTGGAAGGTTTTGAAGGATGTTTGGATACGAGACATTTTGGATTCTGGAATATGCAAAGTGGGTGATTTCGCTTTACAAAGGCGACGTGTAAAGTTTGAGGTTATAAAACCGATGGGAGTAGGATGCAGTGCGTTGCTGTCTTTGTCATTTTCCCAAACTTTGAACTTCGTACTCGTTTATTTGACCCATTACCATTATAGATTTATTTGCAGTAAAAATTGATGTCGTAGTTTTAAGAAATTTCAATATTATTTTTTTTAGAAAGAGACTTAAAAATGATATTCAAAATCTATCGAGATGGGTATTAAAAATTTTATTTAAATTTAATTTAAATATGAATATAAAATAGATGAATTTTATATTTTCAGATCAAGTAGTCGTGGGTATTCGCATCAAGCTAGCCTGTTGACGTCCTTAAAAGGGAATCGATATTAAATTCTGTTTTTAAAATCAAATAAAATTTTAATTGGTAGTCTATTTCTAAGTCTAAATCAATTATGTTTTTAATATTTCAACTAATTAGAGGTATTCTAATAATCATCGTGGAAAACATATTACAAGCAGCTATTTTTCTTATACAGTATAAGAGCTAGATTTTCAAGGTTGACCAAATGTTTGTTTTTTTTTTTTGACTTGAATTTTCCCAATTAATTAAAAGGAGTAGATTAACATAATTATGAAGAATTTATTGATCCCACTTCCCCACGTGTTCATCTTAAGTCGTGAAAATGCTTGGGTGGGGACCATCGTGGTTGACGACCCAATTGGCGGCTCTGATTATGTTTTAGTTGGGATGGAATGGGAAACTGCGATTGGCAGCCGATGGTTTGTTTCTTTTCTTTTTTTTTTCCTTTGTCCTCGTTGTATTGTGAAAGCAAGATTCAACCAAAGAAAGAAATTTGGAATAGTCTTCGTTTTCTTATTTCTTTTAATTTTTTTTTTTTGAAGAAACTATGCTGAAATTTGACAGAAAAATGAAAAAAGTGACGAGCATTAAGCTATTTCTTTGTTAAGTAGTCAAAGGACAAACATAAGTTCAATTAATTAATCGGATAAAATATAGTCTTCAATAAAGAACCAACCTTACACTAACAACCCACTTAGGTATGCTACAATAGAAGCACTAGTTGGCATCTTTCCAACTTGATCTTAACTTAATAGTTGGAATTTTTCCAATTGCGGATTAAGATTTAAGGCCTCATGGGCCTTATTGTCACAATGTTGGAGAATGCAACCCAATGGCAGAACTCAAAAGTCAAAATGCCGCCGCGGGCAAAACAAAAGGCTTCCCTTACATTCCGTAGCCATGTAGGTCTACTCCCTGCATTACATGTATCTGTCTAGATTAGATCCTCGATCATATGGTTAGCAACGCAACATATTCATTGGCGAAGCACATGCTGGCAGATGACCTAAACAGGATTCTGTTTCAGTTTGTTCTGCAAAGTTTTGTTGTCATCTTTAGCTCTATGTAATTAACTGACAGAGCAAACTTTCTTCTAATGAAGATGTCAGAGCATACTGCGGTCCTGAGCTGCGCATATGGCCATTGCGTTGCTCGATTTACAGGGTAAGAAAACATTGAACTAATAAACAATCACGTTAGCAATCAAACAAGAAAGTGACTGCTAAAAGAATGCTAGTGATATTCCATGCATATGTAGCAAGAAAGGGTCTCTTTAATTCTCTGATAACAATTTGGAGAAAATACAAATTGCCACAGCCTGACCCATAGACTTACTGCTACCATCTCTGATAAAATTCGATGGTAGAAAAAGAGGTTGTTAATTATGGACCAGCAAGTGCTCAAGCTCACTGGATTAGCATCCGTGGGAGGAATTTTTACAAGGTTATACTGATAAACTACTTGTGGATTTGCAATGTGCAAACACTGTTGCCAAGGTATGTGGCCCATACAGTCGTCTAGGTGTCAAGGTCCTCAGGAAAGAGTAACCTCAATATGGTATGTATTTGAGAATGGAGTGGATGCGATATATCACCTGAAACAAATTCAGTCATCCTACCATCGACCTCTATCATACTGCATCCTGGTGCTTTCTTGAGCCCTCTATCACCAATCATCCTACGGATCCTATGACCATCTTCACTTTTCTGAGCACTAAAGTAAATGTTAGATAACTGCACAAGGGCTGCATCTTCTTCATCCCCATCACAATCTTCCAGCTCTAGAAGCTCTTTAACAGCAAGCTCAGCAAGCTGAACATTGTTATGAATGCGACAACTATTCAATAAAGCACCCCAGACCGAAACAAGTGGTCTCATAGGCATTCTTCTTATGAGCTTTAGAGCTTCATCAAATTTACCTGTCCTGCAAAACAAGTCCACCACACAACTATAATGTTCATGTTTAGGTACAATCCTATATTGACCTTCCATGTTATTCAACAGAAATAAGCCTTCCTCAACCAACCCTGCATGAGTACACGCAGTTAAAACCCCAAGAAGAACAACCCCATCAGGCCTAATCCCATCATGTTGCATCCTTTGAAAACAATGAATAGCTTTCCTTGCATGACCATGAACAGCAAAACCTCCAATCATAGCTGCCCATGAATAAACATTCCTTTGACTCATCCCTTCAAAAACTTCCACAGCCAAGTCTAAACATCCACACTTTGCATACATATCAACAAGCGCTGTACCAATAAACACATCAAGTTCCAAAAATTTTTCCCTTTTCCTCAAATACTCATGAATCCATTTTCCTTCCCGAAGACTCCCATTTTGTGCACAAGCTGTCAAAGCCGTAGTCAAACAAAACTCATCAGGCTGGATTCCGAAAACCAACATTTCCTTAAACAGTCTCAAAGCTTGAGTCCCTAAACGGCACCGTGCTAAACCACTCATAAGCACATTCCACTTAACAACATCAACGCAAGCAATTTCATCAAACACTTTCCTAGCATCACCCCATAGTCTGGCTTCAACATAAAGCCTTATAACCCCAGTTTGAACATAAGAATCAGATGAAAATATTCCATTCTTAAATACCCAGTTTTGGATTTGCTTTCCTGAAAGCAAAGAACAAGTTTTTGCACAAGAAACAAGAATAAAGTTAAAGGTTTGGCAATTGGGTCTTATAGTTTCTTCTTCTACAAGGAGGTTGAAGTAATGAAAGGAAGTCTGAGGGTGAGGGCTGTTAGAGTGGGCTTTAATGAGAGTGTTGTAGATGAATAAGGTGGATTTGTGGAGTTGGTTGAAGAGGAGGGAAGAGTAGTGGAGGTTAGTTGGGGGAGAGGAAAGGAAGGAGATTAGTTTGCTGATGACATTGGGGTTTTGGTGGAGGCCTTGGGTGATTAAAAGGGCGTGGATGGGCTCGATTTGAGATGCTTTGGTGCAGTGTTGTAAGAGGGTTAAGCACCGCGCCCAGCCTTGGGTGATGGTGCTGTGGTGGTGGCTCATGCTTGCGGGGGTGAATCATGAGAAAGGGCAAGGTGGGAGTTTGGGGTTTATCATATTTGAATCTTGGGGTGGCGCCTCCGTTGAAAGCCCAGAAGAACTGTTCAACTGAAAACAATTGCTACTAGTATATTACACTTTACAGGGGTCATTAATTCCAAGATTAATTTGAAATCAAACTGGAGTTTAAAAATTTTACGAGTTAATATACTTTAATTTCTCAAAGAAATCAATATGTTTCTTAGGTAAAAAGTGCAACCAAGATTAACTAAATGCACCACCAAGCTATATTTATTTGTCAATCAAATTTTATAGAGATTTTTGTTTACATAATATTTAAAAACTTAAAATAAATTTTTATATTTTTATTATGTTCAATCAAATTTTTATATTTTTATTTTAATTCAAATAAGATTTGGTATTTTTATTTTAAATTAAATAACCCTTTATTACTGATAATTGATTTAATTAAAATATTATTTATCATTTTATATCACGTGTTACTATACTTGTCAAAATGAGCCTGACCTATTAAATCGGCCCATTGTTATTGAAAATGGGGTGAGTTGAGTTTGAAAATTTAACCTCATACTAGAACCGGGACTAAATGGGCCAGCCATTTGATCCGTAGGTTGGGGTGGGTTGGGACGGGATAGCTTTGCAGGTTAGAAAAAAATTAATAATTTTATATATTTAACTATATAAAATTAATAATTTAATTACCAATGGTGTTTTTTTATAAATTTTAATGTCTTTAATCTTTATTTGTCAAATTAATAATTTTATTTTAGATTAAAATTTATTATCTCTTTTTCTTTTATAGCAATAAATATTAGATGATAAATTGATAATGATTCAGACCTTAAGACTTCATTGCTGTTTAAACAAGATTTAGCTTTTTTGCATAAAGATGAAGATTAAGGAGGATATAAATGAGTCTTGAAGTTGTTATTATTTGGTTATATACTTATGTTTATGAGAGGGTGATCTATGTTAAAGATTAGAATTTTATTTATGTAATTTATTTATTTATTTATATTTAGTATAATTTATTTATTTGTAACATATTTTTATTATTCAATTTATGGATTAAATCATAAGACAATTTTATTGATAGAAAGTTTATTAAGTAGAATTATAAAAATATTTTTTAGAAAAAAATTAATTTACCCAACGTGCCCTATGGGCTAGCAAAGGTGGACTGAGTTGAGGTTTTGATGGCTTATGTAAAAGTTGTCTGGCTCAGCTTAATCTATATTTTCTCAACTCACAAGGGCTTGGCTCGGGCTAAACCAGGCCAATCCATATTGACACCTTTACGTGCCACTTACGTATTGGCTTAAAATGCTTATATGTTATAATTGATGATAATGTGACATGCAGACATATTATAATTGATGATGATGTGGTATACTAATATAGTATAGTAATATGGTCATATAGCATTTTTCACTACCACATTAATGTCATGCTAGTGTCATGTAAATATAAAATGAAAAATAGTATTTTAATTAATAATAGTTACCTAATCATTAGTCATAAGGGTTTATTAAACTTAAAACAGAAATACAAAAATTGATTGAATGTAATAAAAAAAAGAAGTTTATGTGAATTTTTTAAAGTAATTCAGGAACCTTTTTGAGTATTATGTTTTTTTTTTCCTAATGAGCAAATTTCAAAGAAATTTTTGTCAGAAATAGTGTCTATTAGGCAAGGATCTAAAATGCGGGCAGTGACAAAATCTTTTTTATTATTACAAACCAAATGCAGCCATTTAAATTGTAAGGAACGGCTTCCATTTTTTCTAAACCAAACACCCCCTTGAAACCTTGAACGAGTCATTATTCCATCCTTTTAAGCTAGCTATGTCTTGAGGTATACTATAAAGGTATCACAAAAATATTAATTCTTTTATATTTTAACCCATTGAAGTTGAAAATAATATATATATATATACACACACATAATCTTTGAAAATATTAAGGAAATAAAAGATATAATTGTAATAAAAAATGGCTTATTTTGTAAAATAATTGGTTTGTAAATATAAAGAAAACAAGATTTATAAATGATTTTTTCTAAGATGTAAATACTAAATTTTGCACCTTAAGCGAATAAATTTAAAATTCTATTTTTCTTAAATTAAGTGAGATTTTCATTAAAATTTGAACAAAGCGTCGACCAGGTACTTTCAATTGACACTACACTGTGTTGATTGATAGTCCTATTTTCTAGATCAGCATGAATCTCAATGAATTTTCAAGTTGTCATAAAATAAATACGAATTTGGTCAAAATTTTGAAAATCAAATGAGTTTATCAAAGCTTTGAGTGGTGATCCAAACACACGTTTTTCAAATAGGATTATTTTTATTGATTTTGAATTATCTGTTAATTTATATTTAAAATGATAATTCTCACTGAAATTATTATATTAGAAATAAATTTGGGATTCTTCATCAAATCTAGATCTTCCATTGCACTTATTTGGAATATAGATTAAATTTGACTTCAACTAGATATATCGCTTCATTTCTCATTGCAACACAACCTCGAAAATTCTTATATACCTTCTCATTTCAACACAACCTTGAAAATTCTTATATACCTTCTTCCTCTTTGCTAGTGTTCTATTCTAAAAGTATTAGAATTCAAGGTGAAAAAACTGCAAAAGGTTTAGAAAAGCCCAGAAGGTCTGGAAAAGGTTGGAAGATCTAAAGAAGGTTTGAAGGTCTATAAGAGACCAAAAAGACAAGAAAAAGCCTAACCTAATCTCAGCCCATGCTAGTCCAACCTTAGTCCGGTATAAGTGCAAATTTTTACCCTAACAAGAAACAATTGCAAATAATTTTGGGTGCTAATAGAATGGTTTTAAAAGCTAATAATCATTTTAATTTTAAGCTTGGACTTTTGAAACCTCATGCAATATGAAATTAAAGTGACAATTATGTATTTAAGTTACTTCGAATAATACACGAGAAATTTTTACTTCAATAAACAAAGTTATTTGATTTTATGCTTCATATATTTTTCAAAAACGATGAATATAAGACAAGTTTTAGATGATTGTAAAAGGAATTCAAATACGTTTCTATTAATATATTGTAAGTTCACATACAATAAGTACTCAACAAAATGTGACTAAAATACGGAGCATGTGTTGAAATTTGACATAACTTGAGTATGTTTATATATCTTTAAAATTAAATTTATTTTTTGAGTGAAGCCAGGTTCATTTGAAATTAGGCTCTTTATATTTTCTTAAAAAATCATTCAATCCCATTATTGAATGAAAAGGTTAGGACCGTTCAAAGTTGGACATGCAAAGTTAGAAAAGAAATGTTGAATGACCTTTTTATTTTTGGCCAAATTTCTTTTTTAATTTTTTATTTTCAATATTTATTCTCCCTAAATGATAATCATATATAGATTGCAAATGATTTTGTATGGGATAAATATTGTAAATAAATCTTAAATCTTAACTATTTATCACAACAATCTCAATTATTTTTTCCACCCTACATCCACTATATAAACCCTTATTCACTTATCATATTTTGCACACCTCAAGAAATTCACTTCTGCCTCTTTCGAGTGCTCTCTTATTGTCAGTTAAAATTTTACTATGCAAGTATACATATCGAATAGATAGTATATTAGCAAGTAGAGTATCGATCTCACAAGAAATTGATCTAAAATTTTACTAAGCACTAAAATTAGAACAATTTAGTTTTATTCAAATACTTAAAATCTGAATTCTAATTGAACTAAAATTTACTCAACTAAAACTAGTTTAATTAAAAATTAAAGCAACATGATAATTGGGCAAATAGCAAATCAAACAAGCCTAAGACTACAATATCCTTTACACTTCATCTAAATCTTACCTCTCTTCCTTAACTTATTTCAATGGGTTGAATTGCTAACCTAGCGTCCTAAATTATTTATAAAGGTCTCCCGACTCATCTTATAAAAATATCTATTTTAAACAAAACACTATATCCCTATGTGAATTGAAATTAAAACAGACTCATTAAGTTCAGGCTCTAATCTGGCTACATATGACCTATAGGTATATCCTTATCCTATACGCAAATTAAGTAATATGATCCTATGCTATCCAATTTTAATCTACACTAAACCTCTTCCCAAGTTTGTTTAGGTTCCTCAATCAATTTAACTGGTGGCCAATCAATTAAAAGCATTAAGAACAAATTGGAATAAACAATTCAAATCCCATTGAAAATAAGCAAGAAAGAGATTAAAAATTTAGATTACATGTGAGTTCAATTGCAATCCTAGAAAAATAAATTAGCTCATAATATCTAATAAGGACAATATCCAAAGAAATTTAGCCATGAATGCAAGTCAAAGAAAACAAGAAAAAAAGAAAAAAACACAAAAGTAAAGAGAGAAAACTAATAGTTAGAACTTTGTGATCTTGATTCTCCTTCCAATTTTCTTGTTTTCTTGCTTTGTTCTTGGCTTCAAATCTTCAAAATAGTTGCTTACTGCCTCCCCCTCAAAATCTCTAAAAAAGGTCCCTTAAATAGGCTCCAAATAACCTAATTTCTAAAATCCCATCAACTTCTTTTATTTTTGGAAAGTCACCCAACGCTGCGGCACTACTTCTCCAGCGCTGCAGCATTGAGCTCTCTGAAAATTTTTATGTTTGCTTCCTTTCATCAATGCTGCAGCCTTGTTCTCCCTGCGCTGTGGCAGTTTATCAACTTCAAACGTGAGTTTCACCCTGACATGTTTCGAACTGGGCAAAGTGATAAACATAAAAGTTTTAGCCCTGTCTCTTAACTTTCCAATGGATAAGAATCACATCAATTAGACTTCTAGATTGAAAGATATGCTCCAAATACCGCATCATATTCAATCTTTACATACACTATAGTGCTCTAACTTTGACAAACATTTTGGCCATGATCCAATCAAAAATGGGTGAATTGATAAAAATAAACATTGTATCCCTTCTTGTTAGGATTCTAGTGGTCT